ATAACAGTTGAAATAAAGAATCTTTACTGAAACTATGTTCTTTTGATTACTGTGTGTGTGTGTTTACTTCCCTTGTCTAAAATAAGCTCTGAAATATTTATTTTACTTGAGCTATTTCCTTTATGAGACAGACTGGCCACCTAAGAGTTAAAGTTCAAAGTTCATTTTGGAAAACTTTCTGTTGCTAAGATAATCATCTATCCTTTTGGTTCAGAAATGATTTCTTACAAAATTTCATCATCATAGTCATAGGCTTTAAGATATCTTTTTTAAACTCAGGTAATTATTGAGTCCTTTACTTGGACTTAATATGTAATACTTGTTAATGTTTATTACTTTTAATCAATTAATGGTTTTGGACTTTAAATATTTAAGTCTGAGCCAAAATAGGCAAATGAAATAGATTATGCTCAACAATGACTAGAATCATGTCATATTTTGTTTTTATTTGGGTTATAGGATTCGCTTTGGAGTTACTAATAGTTAACCATATTTTAGACCATTATTTTAAATTTTATAAGGTCTAGTCTTTTTAAATGGCAAAGCTTCAGAGTCATGCATAGGGCTGTGTTGTAATTAGTGTGCTTAGCCTTTTTAAGAAAACAGTGTCTGGTAATATGGCCATTTTGGTGGTGCAAGTGTTTTTTATTAATAATTCAGTGCCCATTTAATCTGAGAAATGTTTTTGGCCCAAATGTTGGGGTCTTTTCCCCTATCATTCCCTGTAATACATCCCCTGCTAGACAAAAAAAAAGGAATTCATAAAAATAAAATGAATGTGATAGATATTACTTTGGTATGAAATGTAACAAAACTTTATTTCAACTAAATGAAAACTTACTTTATTTTACATCTTCGGGCAAACTCATAAATTTGATTTTAAAATACATAGATTAAAGCTTCTTTTTCAAAGAGGAACACTCGAGAAGACAACATCAGTTTTTTTATTAGGTCTTCATGTTCTGTGTGAAATTTGTGATAAGTTTTACTCCATTAATGAATGATACATAATGATGCACTTGAAAATCTCCAAGTCTTTCAAAGTTAAAATTTGAATTTTTCACTCCTAAAATAAGCTTAATGAGTTTTTAACAATTTCAGGCAAATGACTAGCAAAGGAAATAAACACTGCCAAATGTTTCAGGTTCAAGATTCCCCTAATATCAGTTGATTTCATAAAAATAATACAACAAAAATAGCAAAAACAGTTTTCTAACATTATTGTCATTAGTGCAGATTCATTATAGTGTGCTACATGATCATATGTGAAAATTTATTCATCAGACATGAAAAAGTGTTGGAAGGTTTAACAGTGTGTGGTGAAATAAGAAACCAAGAGAGATTTGTTCCCATCATCAGTGGCCTTGCAATGAGTGATAATCCTGCAATGCAGGTTAGATTTTGCTTTTGAATATCAATTCATCTTTCATCTCCTGCCCCTTCTTTTTTTTTAAATTAGAAAAATGAAATAAATTAGCTATAACTGTGATATTATTCTCCTTATAAAGAGATTCTTAATTTCATACCGCCTTGATGGGTATGTTTTTAATACACAATATTTTAATATATTTTAATACAGCAGTATCAGTAGGCCTTTCAAACAATATATACTAATGTAAATGCTTTGATCATCTGACATTAGCATTATTATATTCCACCCAGGTTGCTTGTATCCAGGTAGTCAATGCCATTGTCTTCACACCTGATGATATTGATTTCAGGATGCACTTAAGAAATGAGTTCATGAGGACAGGACTCCTAGATCTTTTAGAAGTAAGTTAGTTTTTATTTTGGATATACTCCTGATTATTTTTTTTGTGTGTTGAAATCAAAGCAGGGTAAAATACTAAAGGACAGGTTAAAAAATATTTTATTTCCATAAAAAGTTAGCAGTACCTCTTATGGTTTAAAATAATTTTATTTAAAAAATTATATGCAAGTGTTTTAATGAACTCTGATCTTTAAAAAAAAAGAAGAAATCAATGATACTTTTGATTGTCAAAGTCTTGACAGGATTATTAAATTTATATGCAGAATGCATAATTTATAGGGAAAAATAAGGCAAACTTATAGGCCTTCTTAATTGAAAACCGAAATTGATATTAATAAAATTGTAATGTTTTATTTTGAGATTTTAATTCTTCCTTCTTCATGAAAAATAGGTTTTAAACAATTTCAATCAACATGCTACTTAAAAATTATTCACTAGTCATTAGATAATCAAGAGGATGAGGAGCTGAGGACCCATGTTAAGATTTTTCATGAACACAAAGAGGAAGATCAAGAAGAGTTTTCTCATCGCTATGACAACATAACCATGGAGTTTGAATATCCTTTTAAACAAATTGAGTATAGAATTTAAAAATTTTATTACATTTATTTAGCTCGATTTGGGATAAAAGAACGCATTATCATTGTAAAATTTACATTTTATGAGGATAGAGAAATAGTTTTAACTTATTTATGGAAAAAAGTAAACATTTATTTTATAAAGTTAGATGATAAAAATGTAGTAACTAACACACATAGATACTAAATATTCTTGAGTTTTGTTTCACTAAAAGCTAAATTACAAAAAAAATTACTTAGTGCTTAAAATAAAAATAAAAAATTACCCATTGGATCTCAAAAGAAAATAGATTATGATCTAATTGTTTTAAAATATGATGTAATACAAACAAAATTGATAAAAATATGAACCCAGATATTATTTTAATTGCATTTTGAGAATCATATGATAAAAGTGAAACATAAATTTAATTTCTTAACATGCCTCACAGACCCTACAGCTTGCTTTCAGCTACTTCTCAGTTCTGTTGGTAACACTGTTGCAGAACCTTATTTCTTGTCCATATTACAACACCTGTTATTGATACGAGATGATATTTATGCCCGGTGGGTGTTTAGGGATGATATTTTGAAAAGTTAGTTTTGACATTAAAAAAAATGTTAAAGATGCCCACTTCTACCTCTTTTGTTCATTTCTTCATTTTGTTTTACTCTTAAATGTTCCTTATGATTTGGAGTGAGAGCTACATTTTGAATGAAAGAAATATTTAAAATAAAACTTAGGAAATTTAAACATACAGGTACCTGATAAACTTATTTAAGTTAAAGATTTAACATTTTTAACTGATCTCATGTGATTTTTAAAAAAATTTAAAAAGTGTGTGCTTTATTTTCTATCAGCACAAGATTCAAATCAATAAATGATTTTTCTATCTCCGCAGCAAGTTTATAGAACAACTTTTCTAATTATTTCTCTTTTCCATTGGTATGCCAGTCTAATTTAGTCTAGATACAATTAATAGTTGTACTATTTCTTTTGAAATTATTTTGATGACATCAAAAGTTTCAATGTTTTATTTCCCCAGGCCTCAGTATTACAAGTTAATAGAAGAATGTATAACACAGATTATCCTTCACCGTAGTGGCTGTGACCCTGACTTCAGACAGACAAAACGTTTTGACATTGATGTTGAGCCTCTATTGAGTTAGTATCATTTCACCATTTTTTTTTTTGGTTGATTGTTAACAGTACTTCAGTTTCATTTACCTGAAATTTAGATAATCTCCAATGTTGATTACTAAATATATGGTCCTAGTTTTTGTTTCAGGTATAACTTTTAGCCACACTAATATTCTAAAGTATTTTTTTTCCTATTTGAAGAACTAAAATATGAAATACTAATTGACTTGGAAAAGTTATATGTATTAAAATCAAGTTAACTATTTTGAAGTTTAACAGATTTTTAATTTCAGTGGACAATTGATATAGATTAAATATTTGACAACATAATTCCTTTGATTTTCTCTAAAAAATCTAAATTTGAAAAGAATTTATGATATCATAATGTATCTACTAATAGAGATTTGCAAGTAATATTGGTCTATAATAAATTTGTATTTAATTTTTTTTTATTGACTAAGCCTCTCATTAATCATTCTTGTTGACAGGCTAGTAGGCATTTTTCAAAAATTACCACTATTACCAGGGGCGGATTAAGAAATTGGGGTGCCATGAGCTCATTCAACAGTAGGGTGCTATTAATGCCTTACAGAAGATTACTGTTTGATTCACAACTACCTTCAGAACTAAGCTGTTTATTCATGCGATGTACTGCCTGCTATTGTAAGTTTGTTTTCTTATTTTAACTTTCTAGGTAGTCTAAGTTAAAGATTATTCTATATTTCAAGAAATCATAGAAAAAATACAAAACATGATATTTTACAACCAAATTTTTGTCATCGCAGACTGCAATTGATAAATCTTTCTGGCAAGTGTGGCCGAAAAAACCCAACTTTAAATAATGTAACATGCAAAAAATCATTATATGCGACCCCTTGAGCCATGGACTTGTTTCCGCCTTACCCAGAGAATAATCCGGCCCTGACAATTACAGAAATAAAAGTTGTACATATGAACTCTAGAAATTATTTTCCTTTTGCAAAGTTTCACTATCAGATAGGTCAAAGTTTGAAGACCCTGGAGAGATCAGTTTGGCAGACATGACCGTCAAGCTAGACAACGCACTGACTGCAAAACAGGAGTCTGCAGCTAAAGCAATTAGTTTAGAGAGCAAAGTTCAACAGTACGAGCTGGAGTTGACTCAACTGAAAGAAAAGGTTCCATACATTTATGTTTCTCTTTTGCTATCTGTTTATTTTTCGCTCATTCAAATCTTAAATTATGATCATTTAGAATTAATATTAATTATTAATAATTTCACTCTTTTGTTCCAAGTTCATTTAAATATTTTTTTATTTTACTGCATACAGATCAACCAAGGCATTGGATTTAATATCAGTGCAGCACTAATAAAAGGGCATGGAGAAGAGCTTGTGGCACCACCTCCTCCCCCACCTCCACCACCTCCTCCTATTGGAGGAGGGCCACCCCCACCTCCACCACCCCTTCCAGGAATGGGTCCGCCTCTACTCAAAGGAGTGGGAATGTGGCCTCCACCCCATCCTCTTGGAATTGGTCAGCCCCTTCCATCCAGCATCAGTTCTCCACGACCAACTGGCTCATTTTCACCACCGCCTTATACACTTCCCCATGGAATGGCACCCAAGAAAAAATATACGACTTCTGCTCAGACTAAGAGATTAAACTGGAATAAGGTATTTCATTTATATAAGTTAATTAATTGTTTTTCTTTGAAATAGTGAATATAAAAAAATATTGGTCATAGATTTTTTAAAAAGTTTTTGTTAAAAAGAGAGAATTGCATTGGTGATTCCATTTACAAATATGAGCATATTGAACCTTACTCATTTGTATTATGTTTCATATCTAGTTGAACCCAAAGCAGCTAGAAAAGGACTCTATCTGGGTGAACCTGCATGAGGAACAGTTTGAAAGTGCAGAAATCTTTCGCAATTTGGAAGAAATGTTTTCAATAAAAGCTCCAGGTATGTTCCAGTTAAATTAGTTAGCTGTTTTAACCATATTATTCTTTGTTTTTTGCATGATTTTTTTATTAACTCATTATGGAATAAACATTTCAATGGTTTCAGCCAAAAAGGAATTTTCTGAAGTTGCAGTAAAGCCAGCCAAGAAGGGGAAAGAACTCAAAGTAATGGATGTCAAATCAGGCCAAAACTTGTGTAAATCTATTTGTTATTTTCTGAAGTAATTTATTAAATTTATATATTTTCTTTTCTCATACAGACAAAATGATAGCTCTTTTATTTGTGTAGTTGATTGAGTTTCTCATAAATAAATGTAAAATTAACTGGCTAAAAATTGTTACAAATGTCCTTTTCACAGCAATCTTGCTAGCCTCTATAAAGATTCCATACGCTGAAATCAAGCGCTGCATCTTACAAGTGGATGAAGCAAATCTCACCTCAGCCATGATTGAGCAGTTCATAAAATACATGCCTGAACCTGATGAGATGAAGAAACTTTCTGAACTAAAAGAGGATTATAATACATTGGCAGAACCAGAGCAGTTTGCTGTTACTGTAATTCTTTTAGATCTTTATCATCATCTGCAAGTTTTGCTACATCTCATAGTTTAGGATAATATCTCCCTTATGCTTTATTAACAAAATCTTTGGACATAGAAAAATAATTCCTAATGTTTACAGCTAAAATGACTATGGTGAGTGATTATCAATTTTTTTAAAATTTATTGTAATAGATGTAATAAATCAGTAATGGCAGATCAAATGATATAGAGGGTCTATTTCCTATCTTTTATTGTGGGGTAAATTTTTTTTATGTCAAAGGGTTAAACTACCATGAATATTTACAAATAGATGAGACTTTGCCATTCTTTTTTTAAATTTTGTTTTAAATCAATTTGATGTGTTAATAAACTTCAGATGTCAACTATCAAGCGCCTAGTTCCACGCCTACATTCCATATTATTCAAAATGAGATTTCCTGATCTTGTATCAGAAATTAAGCCAGTGAGTGCATAACTAATAATGAAATTATAAAGTCATAAAATCATGTGAGTTTTGATAACAATGTAAAAATAGCCTGATGATTGTTCATATTGTCTTCTTAAACTATATGGACAAAAATTACCATTAAATCTCTCAAATTTTATATAGATTATTTTTACATAATTATTTTAATGAAGTTGTTGTTGGTTTTAAGAGTCTTTGTTTAATATATTGACACTTGCTAACTCCCATAGGATTTGGTGTCTGCGACTGAAGCTTGTGATGAAATAAAGAGCAGTCGAAGGTTTGCAAGATTATTGGAGCTTCTTCTTTTAATGGGAAACTACCTTAATTCTGGTTCTAGAAATGCACAATCTATAGGCTTTGATATAAGCTTTTTGACTAAAGTAAGTGGAAAAAATATTACTTATTGAATTGATAAAAAAAACGGAAGGAAACTTCCACAGTCACTACTAATTTTATGTGTGATAAATTCCACTTGTGAGCAAGATTTGATTTTACTTCATATTAGCATGTTTGTGTACACCACTAATTTTCACCTTATTTTAACCAACTTACTGCCATCTGTGAGAGCTAAAATTAGATCCTAACAGAATATTTATACGTAATATTTTTTTTATGTACTTATTAGCATCAAAAATTTTATGCTACTTTAGCTTTTGAAGTAAAATAAAAAAATAAACAAAAGCCTACAAAAGCAACGGATGTTAGTAAATAGAAAATAAGTGAACATTAGGGGAAAAGATTTTAAAAGTAGATTTTCTAAATCAACCAAATAAAAACAATGAAAAAGCAGGACTTCTCACTCCATTTTACTGAAAGCAATTGTATTGTCTCATGAATATTGTTTTTATCAGTTCAGTAATATCTGAATGCTAATCTTCTGCTTCAAAACTAAGTATTCTTGATATTGAATAATATATGAGGGAATGTGTTCAAGATGTGTAAAGTAAATAAATAGTGGAACAAGATATGTTTAATAAGCTTAAAAAAAAAGACAGGGAAAATACAATGACATTTCGGGCTCAATGCCTTCTTCATCAGGCAAGACAAAACAAGAAACAACAAATAAATAGAAATTAAAAACTTATGATCTAAATTTATGTCTCTCAGTCTCTGTTTAGAAATGAAAATGCTCTTTTAGAAACTGACATAAAGTTAACTATTGTAATTAATATAAAATTCTTTATTCTTTATATTTTTTTTTTTCTTTTATGTTGGAAAACGCTTCTTTTTTTTGGGGGGGGGGGGGTGATAAATATTTAACAATAATATTTTACATAAAATATAAAGGCGGGAAAATTTAAACTTTAAAAATAGATTCGTAGTTATTTTATGTTTGTTTGTTGTTTTTTTTAATTCCTGAAAGTACCGGGTTTAAGGGGGGGGGGTGATAAATATTTAACAATAATATTTTACATAAAATAATTGACTGCTAGTACGTGATACTTTTACAGTTGGAAGGGACAAAGAGTCAGGACAACACCTTATCTATGCTTCACTTCTTAGCACATGTATTGGCAGAGAAATATCCTGATGTCCTGGGATTCTTTGATGAGACTATCCACATAGAAAAAGCAGCTAGAGGTAAGATTTTAAATATTTTATACCTGCAATTATATTTATTTATAGTGGTATTGATCTGTATTTGAATACTGAATTTTAGATTGATTACAATTTTTGATGTTAAATCCTTTTACTTATCATTTAGGTAACATTTTTGAGACTCGCATACCAGGATTTGCTTTAAAATAACAGTTCTTGCTTTTAAATAAATGTTATTTGCTTTTCATTACAGTTTCAACGGAGATCCTTCATAAAAATATAAATTCCATAGGCAAACAAATAAGAGATCTTGAATTGGATTTAAAAAACTTGGGCAAGCCAAATGATCCTGATGATAAATTTTGGGATGTTATGAAAATATCCTTAAGGAAGCAAAATGTTGCAGTTTTCTATATGTGTTTGATGTGTTTATATAATTTAATTATAAAAACCTAGTAATTTACATAACTTTGTAATTTTTCTGAATTCTTTTAAATATTTGAATAAAATTTGTATAAAATAAATAATTTTTGAATTCTTGTGTGTCCAAGAAAAGCAGGGTATAGAAAAAAGAAGGTACTGATATACACAATCTTAAAACTCTTATCATGCTTACATTATGACACAACTATCTAAAATCTATAAAATATACTGATTATGGATCTTGTTAATACCATTTTAATTTGTTACAAGCATTTGAAATGTAGCTATTTTATTTTGATCTCAGAGTATCATAAAATATTATCCTTAACTAGTAGGCACAATTTCTTAAAAGATGCCCAGCTGCAGTATGATGTGCTCAGTACTATGTTAAAAAAACTAGAGACCCTTTTTGAGGCTACTGCCAAGTATTTTGCCTTTGATCCAAAGAAATACACCATGGAGGAGTTCTTTGGTGACATGAAAACTTTTAAAGATTCCTTGCAAGTAAGATCAAATTTATCATCTATTTAAAAAAAATAGATGCTATTAGAAAACAGTCGATTTTAAAGAAACACAGCACAGCTTTGCACAGCTTTTATGGTCTCAATGTAATTGTTAATTATTTCAAGGGAAGCTGAGAGCACATCACTTGTTTCCACAAGAATGCCATGCTTCTAAAAATTATGTTTCCAGCAATCCTTTTGATCAATGCATTATTTAGATTCTTTGGAAATAATGAACTGGAAATAAAAGCCAGGACAATCATACTGTAGCTTCAAGTGTTGTATCTGAGTAGCTTGGATGTTAAGAGGCCGTTGACCTGTTGGCCCATCTCTTGTTTCTAAATATGGCAACTTAATTCAAATTGAAAAATAAAGTGATCTGAGTGACTGAAATGCTTAAATTTCATTTCAGAAAGCACTGAAGGAAAATGCAAAGATAAGAGAGGTGCAAGAAAAAAAAAGGAGAGCAAAAGAAGCCAAGGAAAAGACAGAAAAAGACAAGAAGCAAAGACAAGTGACCATTTTAGATATGACCACAGGTGGATATAAGTATAAAGAATTTAAGTATTACATTAAGCTTGTGATACCTCCCCTTAAAGAAAGCAATGAATTGGCAAAAAAAAAATTATGGTTAGTAAACTAGTAAGGTTCTGATAAGTATGTAATAAAAAACCTTTAAAAGATCAAAGACGAGTTTAAACACTAAAAAGTATAAAATAATTAAAAATTTCTTAAAATGCATTTCCCAAAGAAAGCCTGTGAAGAAGTGTATATGAGCATTCTATATTGCCAAAGGATTCAAATAGAATGTAGAAAAACATTAATTATTTTTTTTAATTAATTATTTTTGAAAATATTTTATGCACAGACTTTCTTTGCGTAATGCATTTTAAGAAATTGTACATTATTTTTTAATTTTTGGTGCGTTTAAACTTGTTTTTCATGGAGTCTTTTTTATAATTGATACTTTTTACATTTTTATTATTAAAATGTTAATCTGTTTGTTGTTATTGACAAAAAAAGTATTATTTACTTTTAAAAAATATTGTTGTAAAACTCTGTTATTTGAATTGACAATGCTACAACAGCAACTACAACTTCAAAAAACGCAGTACATAAATACTACACTAACACTAACACTAAGATGACCCTCAACAAACTAACGGAAACTACAAAAAACTAACTTGCATACCATGTTAACACAACATTTATTCTCACATGGTTTATTGACCTGCTGATCATTCATAACACAAGACGACACAACTCACCCATCATAACACCTGTTTATAGCAACTGTCACATGACAAACAAGATGAAAATGCTAGTAGAAAGAAATAGAGGGACAACTGTAAATTATTCAATTGTTGCTTCTAGCTTTTTATAACTTGGTTTTAATTTAATACACAAACTGAGAAGGACATTTTTCTTATACATTCGAAATATTTGAACTATTTTGTATTTTAGATGACAACCAAGAAGGAGTCATGGATAACTTGCTAGAAGCTCTAAAGACTGGTTCAGCATTTAATATGAAGAGAGATGGTGGGAAAAGGCGTACGCCCAGGGCTGCAGGAGGTAAGAATTAGTTTCATATAAATTCATTTGCAAAAAAGAAGGATGATGTCTTCTTTCTTTTAGGGTTTACTTCCTTAGCCTGTCACAAGGCAGAGGAGGTT